TGTCCATATCGCATTTGATCTAAGCCGCCAGGTATTCTCCGCAGTGGTGTAACCACCGGGGAACAAGGGGAAAATATCCATCTGTGGAAAATCTTTCCCCATTGAATGCCCTTTTCACCCGGGAAAGTGCGTGAAAATCTCAAATTTTAAATCCAATATTTTGTTGAGGTAGGCCAATTTCATCTAAAAATTGCACATTTTAGGAAGTTTTGATCAATTCCGACGAAATTAGAAAACAACATTTTTCGCGCACTACGCGCGCATTTTTTAATGTTAAAGCTTGTGCTTGCATGCTCTCCTTTGCCTTATAAATTATAACACATAGTCCCAAACTCAAGAAAGAAAATTTAAGGATAGATCGTTTATAAAAGAAGGGCCTCAATGTGTAATGATGTTGAAAGAATATGTTTGTAATAAATAAATCCATAAGGCAAATGCTTATATTCAGTTAAAAAAAAACGAGTGTGGCCATATATAACAACATAAGAGTAACTTGTTGAGGTAGGCCAATTTCCTCTAAAAATTGCACATTTTAGGGAGTTTTGATCAATTCCGACGAAATTAGAATTTAAAAAAAAAAAATTTGTCGCGCGCTTCGCGCGCATTGTTTAATGTTAAAGCTTGTGCTTGCTCTCCTTTGCCTTCTAAGTTATAATACATAGTCCCAAACTCAAGAAAGAAAAATTAAGATAGATCGTTTTACCTAAAAGAAGGGCCTCAATGTGTAATGATGTTGAAAGAATATGTTTGTAATAAATAAAGCCATAAGGAAAATGCTTATATTAGGAATTTGTGCGAATTGACTTCATTAGCCATATTATATTACCCCCAGTTTCAAATTGATTATTTTAGTCAAAAGATGATTTATGAACCCTTACAATACACTTGACGTGTTATTTTCCTGGTTAAATAACTAAAGCAATTATCCTCTGCCACTTTGTGTACTTAAGGATTACCGCCGACGATGTAAAGTATTGCTAATATGAAAAATCACCTGTTTTCTAGCAGTACATTTAGCTTGAAAATCTCCTTCACTCATCCCCAAGCTGAGACCGATTGTGAAATTCAATTAGCAGAACAAGACGTAAGATAACTGGTATGACAGCATATCTGTAGTTATTGACATATTTTTGCAGAGTATAAATCTGTGCTTGAATATTATCCCATGCTCGAGAATAAGCCCATGGATCTACTATTTGATTTGAGATGCTAGGCTATGTCCGAGTCCAGGGTGTATGTGAGGTCTCACTACAAAATGAGTCTCATCGTTAGAAAATGAAAAAATTAGTTCATATTACATTTTGGTAGATCACATTATAAGCTTTAATTTGGTCTTTGAATGGATAAATAGATCCAGAGATGTTAGCATTTAAAGTTTAGGTGTATGAGAACCAGGTTTTGAGAAAATCGGCCTCAAAGATAAACTAACCTGTAGAAATAATAGGAATAGATTTACAGAATATGCGAAGAGAACACTGTTTTTAGTAAGAAAATTCACTTAAAAAGTACACAATCATAAAATATAAGTATCAAGTTATTCAAAAACATTAAAATCAAAATTTTGTAAAAATGTTGCCTTTGACCTATTTTGGTGAATATCTCAATATGATTTCACCAACGATGCGTCTCATTTTGTGGAGAGACCTCACATTTATAATCATCAAATATACGATGTATTATTATGTCCTTTATTCTAACACTGTATTTACCTTCTTTTGATGATTATTATATATACATACATATATATATAAGAGATTATTATTGCCAGACATTTAATAAAGTGAACAAACGATATAAGTTTCCTTCTCATGGTATTTAATTTTTCTTCCACCTTGTTTATTCATTACACAGACATGTTTCGGAAAACAAATTTCCATCATCAGTGTGAAGCTAGGGCATTACAGTAGGTTCACGTTTTATAACTACTTTCACAGTGTATGTAAATTACATGATACACACACACCCACACCTGGGTTCACTCTAAAGCCGCAATCGCACTGGATTTAAAATAGGGAAATTTTTACCGAGACTGTGGGTAACATTCCAATGGGTAAACTTCCTGTCGTTCGCACTGGGATTTATTGACGTGGTTAGTTTTACCACAGGCCATGGTGAAACTAACCATTCGTACAGATTCAACTATTGGGGGCGCTAAATCGTGACGTTGACGCTCACGTACAACAGATCGTAATAAGCTAAACCGCCGGGTTCTCCTTCTTGTTGTGACAGTGTTTCTTTGGACTAGGCCCACATCATGTTGTATTTGTTGATAATCGCGATGGATTGTCTCACCAAGACCTAGCACATTTATTAATGCTCCATATATAAATCGGCCATTGAAACAAACCGAGTAAAAAATTAAGTGAAAAAAATGACAAAATTACTCAAAATCAAGACACAGCAAACACGCGCGAAATTAATCAAGATGTTTGTGTGTGACGTTTTATTCCAGGTCACAGCTCATGCGTAATTGCCTGACAGCCTGAAGGTCATTCACTGTGATGACTTGGGAAGGTTACCCGACTCGCGCTGTTCGCATTGGACTTTCCTGCTAGGTAAAACTAACCTGGTCAGTTTTCCTGGGCAAGCGGGACTCGGTTAAATTAACCGCGCGCCTTGGGTAAGTTTCCTGTCAGGTAAACTTCCTGTGCTGTTCGCACTGGACTAATTATGGTAAAACTAGCCAACGTGTTGGTTAGTTTTACCAAAAAAAGTCCAGTGCGATTGTGGCTTAACTTTCATTTTTGTTTAGCCAATTGGCTAAGCTAAAAAAAAAAATTTAGCCAATTGGATATTTGTTTAGCCAAAATTGGCTAAAATGTTAAAAATTGTTTTAGCCACTTATCCGAGTGAAGTTTCATTCAAATGTTTCGTACGGAAAAAAAATCGCGGCCTGGCCATTGAAATCATTATGCTTCGTATCTGCGCGTAACCTCTCGTAATCTGCTCGTAGGTACGTTTTGAACGTAGCTACGAACCACTACGAAGGTCATTGTTATTTTAATTAGCTTTGCAAACTTCGTAGGCTGGATCGTCGGACTGATAAACAATGCGTAAACAATAGTGAAATATAGTTTACCAGCTTTCAGCACGTGAACAATGTTGCAATTTACTAATAAACAATGTTAGAACTTTATTGTTTTGTTATTTCCTACCTTATTATTAGATCGATCATGTTTTAAAACTGTGTTTAGTTCGAAAGCTAGGTAACCTAGTGGGCCGTCAGTATGTTCGAATTTCAGTGTCATTTAGGCCTACGGCCTACATTTTCCCATAGAGGACAGCAGACAGTAATTTATACTGGTTGACTCTCCAATTCGGAGAATTTTGATCTGATATTGTTCTGCTAGTAGGAACTTTCTTCTTTTAAATAATAATACTGATGACAAGTCATGTACAAATTAGTACGATTTCTATTTAAAAATCACTTTGTTTATTGTTTACCGCAATTTGAAGCAGAACCTGCTAAGCGATCCAATACTATTGAACTACAGAAATCACTACTTTGCCGAAGTAAGGCTAGTCATGCTAGACCGCATTTTCTTCGTTTTTTACTCACTGTCGCTCTCAGCAACGAGGTTAACCTTTAACACACTTTACTGTGTTCTGATTGACGCGCACTCTGTCCGATGCTGGATTTTTGGGGTTGACAAGATGAACTGGCATTTTGCCAAATTTTATTTTCCATTGGGTTTTACATGTGACATTCGGTAATTTTACAATTAACGGACGTTAACTCTCTCAATATTTATTATTTATCGTACTAAATCAAGGCTACAAAGTATTATTTGATGAACAATCTTTTCACGTGTGTGTGTTGTCATTGAGGGCATCTTTTTTAACAGTTAAAGAGGTAAAATAATAAACATGCTTTTGCTTCGTAGGTTCGCTTCGCGTAGCCGGCCTTGCTTAGATTTGTTTATTTCAGTCTACGATGTAT